TTTGCAGTCAACCCTCACTTTCCAGCAATTCGCTGATGTTTCCGTTTCCACCGGCATCGTTTGAAGGAAAATGTATCCATCGATGACAATCTGGACTGAGATTTTCGTGTCGAGCGGCAGATCGTCGTGTGGATTGGACAATGAACTTATGCTAAGATCTGTTCCGGAGCTACTGCTTCAATAACTTCTCCCTCGATGACCGGACTCTTACCGTGCAGGTGAATACTCGATACGGAAGACTTGAGTATGGGATCCTGGCATGAACTACATAGACGCACCTTGTACGCATCCTGAATCTTTACCGGTGCAGAGGATGAGGACCGTTGAGGAGCAGTGGGTAATCAGGGAGCATTGTGGGCTTCTCATGCACTTCTTATACTCAGCTGTAGGATTCCATCAGCTTCGAGATCGTTATCGCACCAATCGGAAGTCCCAAGATTGCCGACTCGGACTGCGAGCGCCGTTGGCGCTAGAAGCTGTTAGTAGAGGCCCCCGGTCACTCACCCCTAACTACTTAATCAACGGCCCAAAATTGGTGTTTTTAGCTCCGCCTCATAAACCCCTCGAGCCTCGAGATAGCTCCGCGATAAGGTAAATCGCAGCCCGAGAATTTTTTTTGAAGGAGGGCCTCGGCCCCGCACCGGTTTTGCAGCTGGTTTCGCATTAATCTTGTGTTGTCGCCTGGTGAAGTTAATCAGTTTTATTATTTTAACAACGGCACACATAGTTGTCGCCTTGAGCAAAGCACGCCACAACATCAGCACCGCTTTCTGCAAATTTTCACCCACGTCGAAGCTTCACTCCTCTGCCATGATGCCGCCGATTGGCAAGTACATACTGTGAACAGCAATTTAGCATGTCCTACCCTATTTGAAACCTGCACTGAGGCCGTCGGCTTCGAGTCTAACTGGATACCCTGGGCATTTCTGAATATAGTACTCTTCCTGCTGCCTTCCCTCATTGGCACCATAACAGTCTCTCTCTGGGGTTCTCACCTGGATGTCTATGATAACCAATCTCCTCTGGCCTTGGCTTATGTTCTCGGGTACTCCGCATTTTCTTCAGGCTCAGCTTTGGTCTTCATTGGTAAGCATACTTTTTTGTCATTATATTTTATTCATGCCCATTCCGCAGCTTCTATGCTGTTCCAACGAAAATTTCGGTACCATCTCACCATTCCTCGAATTGTGGGCCGGTGCCGCCATCGTTCCCATGTCTCCTTCATGTCCCAATGTTGGTTTCGTGCTGAACTCCGTGGTAAACCCACAGAGGAGTTCTCATTCACCATTTTTATCCGGGGGCTGGTTCAAGGCTCACTGCCTGTTTGTACTTCTAATACAGTTTGGACGTGGCTTAGAACTAATTTCCTGCCAGCGGTCACGGAAAACACCACGATACAGGAAATTTTCCATGGGTCGATCTCGCCCGGAGGCATAGAATGCACAGTATGCATGCTGTTTTGATTCATGTCAGTTGCGCATGAGCCTCGCAGAGAAACGGAGCAAGTGGGCTTAGCCTCAGAGATATCAGATCCGTTGCAAAGCGGTGAGTTATTATAGTCCCTCAGTCGAGGATCAGAACTTACACACCGGGCCAGGAGCATCACTCTTGCCACTTTATCACTCTACTCAGCGCTAGGTGAAAGGACAGCCGGTGGTTCGACCCCACTCGGAAGCATTCACGAAGTAGGCGAACTTTTTATTTGAGGTCGGTGGGAGCGCCGCGGCGGCCCGCGCAGAAATTACGCGTTCAGCAGATGTACACGGGCAAGGCGGATACAGACAGTCCCGATGCGGAGAAGACTGAGCGTCAATCAGTCAGTCGTAACATATTTCGATTACTCACGTGCGGAATAAACGTGCCTAACGAGGATGAAATGCCCGACTTGCGAGATAAGTCTTCGGGGAGCATGGCGCTCGGTCCCGCGCTTTTTATAGTCATCTATTGAATTGAGCGGAAAGATGGTAGTTCGACTCCAGTGGAGGGCATTCAGAGCTGAAAGTTCACCTTTTTCGCAACCAATACAGCCCTTAAGGTATTGATAAGACGCGCACCTAATCCGCCTCGTACCTCGTCAAACATGTCTTCGCAGAGCAAGAAATCTCGCTGCAACATCTTAGTGTGAAAAATATTGAAGATCCATGCGAGAGCCGGCGGTTTGACCCTAGAAGACGTGTCTTCGCAAACTTCAGCCTTTTCCCCGCACCTAATTCTGTGCACACAAGAAGTTACTCACCTAGCAGGGTGCGAAGCTGGCCGAGGAAGTCTTCGCGGAGGACAGAGGCTCGCTCTCGTCCATTGCTCCGGTGCGGAAAAGGGTAATGGGAGCGCCGGCGCCCCGCCCCCGCCGGAGGCATTCAGCGTACTGGTGTGCCTCTTTTTTCATTCACGTGCTTACTGTATGTGCGCCACGGAAGAAGCTGCATAGGTGCGGCGCGAGGCGGAGACTGTGGGTGCTTGCTGACCAGCACGGGGAAGCACACGCGGGCGGTACATGTCGCAGCGCTCACACGCGGAGGAATCATAGCACTTACAAGCGGGCCTGCCGCGATCCAGAGACGCACAACCTCTGAAACTTAATTAACGTGACCCCGAAAGATCCAAGGATAGCGCGTTCAGACAAGATAGGACGGGCAGATTACAAGTGAGGGCTCTAGGGTAGGGGTATCCTCGATAACTGCGCAGGCGGGGAGGAGACAAGATATCGTCCTAGAAGGGACAGGTCCGTGTCCGTGTATGCGTGCGTAGGTATCGTGACGGGGCGGGGATCCGAAGCGGAGTCGAGTCGAGGCGGCGTGCGGAGAAGGGACGGAGGCAGCGGGCGGTGTGCGGCGTGGAGACGGCATATGGGAATCGAAGACGATGCGGGGCAGCGGCGCGTCCGTGCGAGATGCCGTGCACCACTCTGCCTGGAGGCATGAATGCTAGCGCAGCAGCGCCGCGCCGCGCCGAGGACGCCCGCCACACTCATCCCCATTGCCATCGGGACTCCAAGCGCCAGGGGTCGTGCCGCGCCCGCAGTGTCACTCGGCGTGTCGACGGCGGCGCGGAGGAGCTCGCGGGGCCGTCGCCGTGCTTGACCCCATGCTCGAATTGGACGCAGCGTAAGAGGAGGTGGACGCAGAGGCGACGACGGGATGAGCGACGGGAAGGAGAGGGACGTGGGTTTGGTAGCGGCGGCGCAGAACGGCTCGACGAGCGCCTCGGCGGAGAACACTTCGGCGGGGCAGACGGTGGGTAGGAGACGAGGGTGGCGGCGTAGGTCTTTTCGCTGCGGGCAGAGAGTTAAAGGGAGTGGAGAGGAGGGGAACGCACAGCGGGGCAACGGCGAAGTAGTGCGACCTCGGAGGAGCAGTTCGTGGCGGGCGCGGCGAGGCGTAAGCAGTTCGCCACTAGTACTGCACCCACCAATCCCAATCCCGGACGTATTAGTAGATGGAGCGCAGAGGAGGAAGCAGCGCACGCACCGCAAGACGAGATGCCGCTCCGGGAGGGCAACGAGGAAGATAGCGAGGCGACAGCACGCACCATAGTGCCCGACAACCAGGCGCCCGGGAAACGTCGCATTTCCTTCACCCCGCCTCTGCGCGAGATTATGGCTCACGCCGCATGCGCGGCGCGGACGCATGCTATGACTCTGGCGAGGCTGTTGGAGACATTATCCGTACATCCGATGTGCGATGATTTGGAGAACGTAGTGTGTGAGGTGATGAATGGGGTGGGGCCGCGAAAAACGCGCTTGGGACTGGTGTACGAGTGATATAGACGGACAACCGGTCAGCGAGGGCTTGCATGTCGATGGCGACGTTTGCACCAGGTCTGCAGCGCAGTCGTGTGGCGCGTTGATGAGGAAAGAAGCTGGCGACACCGCCACTTCCGGCCCCCCGGGTTTTACCGATGGTCCGTGCGCACTCCACGATTTTTTCGTTCAAGTCCGCGATGCAGTACAATCTATTTGAAGAAGAAAGAATACCTGGTCATGGACAATCCGACGTGTATAAACAGATGTACGGTGTAAAAGCAGAATATTGGTAACTTCATATTCGGCCCAAGGTGAGAGGCGTTCGTTTCGATGGTCCGTTTTTTTGTTCAGCTGAATGCTTTATTTCTTTAATACCACTCGGTGCATGCGCGGCGCACGCGGAAATCGACCCCGTCCGTTGCTCCGACGCAGCACCAAAGGGAACGGAGAGATGGGCGCCCGAAGACGTTCCTTTATTCCAAGACCCGTTTTTGCATCAGTGTGTGATTCATTCCTACACACGAGGTACGAGTGTCGTTGGTGCTAGTATACTCGAGGATGCAGGAGCCACCAAGCGTGTTTAAATAGATCTGTTGATGAATCAGAAGCTTACCAGTCTTCGTGGAGTACGGAACGCACTCTAATCCAACTGGGGGAATACGTACACACAGAATGGGAGAGGTGGTGGTTCGATCCTACCCGAGGACATTCGGCCGATGAATTCAATTGAGATTTTAATTGCTGTGTATTTCGCAATCAAGTTCTATTTATTTTTGTGTTCCACTGGGGGGAGACGGGATGTGATCATCCCTCCAATATCGACAAGCACTGCATTCTGAGTGCAATCAAGACTCACTTCATTTGAGGGGCACACGGTGTAGCTCGCAGGCATGGCGCTCGCTCCCACTCAATTGCGTAGGGTACTGAAAATTTACGGGGTTCGACTCCGGCCGAAGACTTGCGAGGAACTCCATTACTTTTTAGGACCTCCCAACAATTTGCCTCAGCCAACGCAGGAAACTAACGCACCTAGGCCACGTCGCAGGGAGTGGGACGAGTCTTCGTAGTGCAGGGAGTTCGCTCCCGCCTGTTCGTCAACATAGAGGGTCCATGGCAGACTAAATCCACCCGAAGATGTTAACAAAGCCCATTCTTTGTTCTTTGAGCTCGTAGTTTATTCAAGCGGAGAGTGAGTCAGCTACTTACAGGCTCCGGCTTAGATCACTGCATAAGCCTTGGTTGAGAGGCACCGAAATGAGCCTCCGTGGAGCACGGTAGCTCGCTCCCGCTGGGTAAAGGACGAAGGTAATTATCGGGGAGAGCCGGCGGTTCGACCCCGCCCGGAGGCATGTGTTGTTTCTCTTGTGTTTTTTCCACCAGCGAAGTCGAGCAGGCGGGAGGGAGGCGCGGGAGAGTGGCCTCAAAGATGTGCAAGACCTGCAGTGAGGGAGTAGAAGTCTCGGCGATTGCGGGAGGGCATTTCGTATGTTGGTCGTTTACTGCATTCAAACGCAGCGGATAAACGCACCTATCCAGCCGCTTGGGCGTACCTGCACGCCTCTGTGGAGCACTGCAGCTCGCTCCCGCGCTTTGAAAGAATCAGGGAGAGACGGCGGTTCGAGCCCGCCCGGAGGCATTTGACATATGCTTGTTTGCTTTTTAAATTATTTTCACCGCTGTCCAGCGTCCGGAAATGCGGCGCGTGAGCTGAGTCTGAGCGATATCACAGCGTGTGAGCTAGCCGCAGAGCTATCGTAGAGAGATTACATTTGTGAGATCGGGTTACACGGGCACGGGATGCATAGACTTGTTGTGGGCGCGACGAGGGCCAGGGGGATGCGATCCGCCGAGCAAGCGGGATGATCAGTGCACGATACAGAGCCGCCCGGCTACGTGGCACAGGCCCCAGAGAAGAAGGACTCTGCGAAGCTACTTGGTACCAACGCAGCGCCGAGCTCCAAAGACAAGTTTTGGACGTTGGGAGCCAAGCGGCAAGTCCTAAGCCCCCGAGATAAAAGCGGGGACGCATGGCGAGCTGGTCCGCAGAGATCGGACCAGGAGGGGCTGGCACCGAACCATACATATCCAACGAAGGGCGAGGCAAAAGTTCCGTTAGTCGCCGCACGGAGGTGCGTGTACGCGCCGCACCTAGTCAACCTTGTATACAGCGTTCCAGGCCTCCGTAGAGCAACGAAGCTCGCTCCCGCGCGTTGTTATTTAAGGTGGAGGGAGCACCGGCGGTTCGAGCCTGCCTGGAGGCATTCGCGAGAACCCATGCATTTTTGTTTTCAGTTACTGTTTATTCGAGGGACGTGTGCCCCGCACGCAAGGCTTCAGCGGGAACAACCGATGAGGGACTCGGGCGGGGACGAGCGATGGAGCCGCGCTGGCGGGCCAACACGCAAACACGAGGTGCGCGCAGAGAGCTCGTGCCCCCCTTCGCACACACAGCAGGATTCTGCGGAAGGCTGAACGGCAGGTAGGGTAACGGAGACACGCGCGGCAGGACTAATTGGGGCTCTAGCGTAGCTATAACTTCGAAGTGTCCGTATTCCGGGACCGCCGTGAGAGGAAACCGGGACGAGAGATAGTCGGAGAAGGGACGGGTCGCGAATGAATCCTAACGCAGGGAAATTGAATGACACTATGGTTCGACTCCGCCCGATGACGTGTAACGTTGCTGACGCTGCTTTTTTGTTTTACTTAATACCTCCCTCGAGCGAATCTAGGATGGCCACAAATGAGTCTCGCAGACCGTGAAATAAGTCTTCGTGGAGCACGAAGCTCACTCCGCCCGTTGGATTTCGGGGAATGGGTGGCGGATCGACTCCGCCCAGAAGCATCCTCTGTGAAAGTCAGGTTTTTATCCAACTTGCGTGAGTCGGCGCCAGCGTTAGTTTTGCGGCGCACGGCACAGAGCGGGTAATACGGGGAAGTATTCAAGCTGGCGGATACAGACGTGGAGCGAGAGAAGACTTGGAGATTTTATGTGAGTCAGTGAGCCAGGCATTCGCTTCAGTAAACGCACAGAATTAATTGACGCCCCTATCCAGCCGCTTAGGTGGACCTGCACGCCTCCGTGGAGGCTCGCTCTCGCCGACTGAAAGGCCCCAAGTCCAATTCCAGGGACAGATGGCGGTTCGGGCCCGCCCGGAGGCGCACAAAGGATACCAGCGTGCTTTCTTTTGTTCAGCCGAATGCGTGCCTTGTCTCAGTATCGGCGGCCCAAGCGAGCAGAGAAATGGAGCGCGTGAGGAGCGAGCGAGCGGAAGAATGGCGCGCGTGAGCTTAGTCTGAGACGTCGATGCAGAGATGCAGAGATAAATATTAATTGACAGCAAATCTATAGGCGGCGCTGCGGTAGCTGTGGCCTGGCCGAAGCGCGAAGAGAGATGGTGGGGTAACCGCGGGAGAAAGTCCGAGGTACATGTATCGTGCCATAGATGAAGGTGGGGCACGCGAGGGAAAAAATGAGACAGCCGTACGAGATGCGACTGCGGAGTCGCGAATGGGACCGCAGCAACGCCGCGCCCGCAACGTCATCTTCAGCGGACGCCCCAGTGCGCGTTAACGGGGATGCCGAGGGAGGTACATAACGGGGCGCCGGGTGTCGAGCACGAACCCGAGCCCGAGGCGGGGCGGGGCGGGGCGGAGGCGGAGGATGACAGAGGGAGAAGATCGACGTGGGCATGCGCGCCGCACTGAATAAGAGCGTAGGACGAGGGGCGTTCAAGCTGCACTGCGCGGTAGGAACTTGAAGATACGCGCAAGGGTACGCGCAGAATAAGCGCAGAGGGATTTTCTTTTTTCGATGAGACTTCTCCAGAGCGACAGAGCGAGCAGATGGGTGCGATCAATGAGGATTCCAGAGGGCCCATACGCGTAGGAGGGAGTCGGAGCCTAGTCCCGAGCACGATCATGAGCGATTCGACACAGAAAAAGAGTCAAGAGAGAGTCTGAGTCAGAATTCAGAATTCCGGCTCGAGTAGCCGCCTAGAAGGAAAGACAGAACAATACGGGCAGATGCGACCGCCGGGGAGATGCCGCAATCCCCCGTACGGCGTTGAATCGCCAAAGCAGCTCGGCGACATGGCCGTCCACGGCAAGGGCCAGCTTGCGCGTGTTTGGCTGCGCTCTCCGCGTGTCATCGGCTCCTCCGCCGGACTCCCGCCACCCGCTCTCCTCCACACCGGCAGGTACATAACGATGCGCCTCCCGCCGCGCTCCTCTTCCTCTCCATTTGATTGGTGCTCGGCGGCTCAGTCGCTTCCAACGCAAGCCCCGTAAGAGTGCAAATGCCGCCGCAGGCCCGCAAGTAGATTGGGAGCCCGCGCTGCCCTCGTTGAGCAAGGTCTCTTTGTGCGGTGTGTCCGCTTTCTCCTCGTGTTTGTACCCAAACTCATTTGCGTAGTGGCGAACTGCCTCGGCCTCCGAGTCGCTGCGGCCGCGTGTTTACCCCGCCACCAACCCTTTCTCTCTCCTCTCCGCACGCCGGCAGGTACCGACGCCCACACGATACACCTCCCGTCCGTGTTCCTCCTCCTCGCCCTTACCTGCGCCCTTACCTGCGCGCTCGGCACCCGTGCCGCGTTCTCGTCATCCACGCCCAGCGCCGCAAGCGCAAGTGGCAGCGCAAGTGCAAGTGGAAGCAGAAGCCCAATTGGCGCGCGGACCAACTCGGCGGGGCTGCCCTTCGTAAGCAGGGTCTCATCGTGCGGTGCGTGCGCTGCTTCGTTTTGTCGTATGGAGACTAACGTGCCGCGCCGCGAACTGTTTCTCCGAGGTCGCGGTGAACTGATTCTGCGTCGCATCGTAGTGCGTTCCTCCTCCACTCTTCCCTCTCCCGCTCCCCCCCCTCTTCCTTGCTTCTTTCCCCTCTTCACTTCCCCTCCTCCCATGCCTCACCGCGTGCCCTGCCGAAGTGTCCTCCGCAGAGGCGCTCGTCGAGCAGTTCTGCGCTGCCGCCACCAGGCCCACGTCCTTCACTCCGTCCTCGACCTCTTCCGCCCATGCCGCCTCCAATCCCGCCCCCGCCTCCGCATCAATTCGAAGTGGAATCAAGCACGGCGACGACCCCCGCGAGCTTCTCGACGACGTCGAGTGACGCTGCCCGCGCCCCACCCCTTAGCGTCCCACAAAGCGGTACCGCATCAACCATAGCGGCCGTACTGCGCCTACTCAGTGCACTGCTCTTCTACTAGCGCCGCCGTCTCCTGGGACTTCATCTCGGCGCCTTCCTCTGACACTGAATCGCGCCCCCCTTCTGCTCCCCAAATACTTCGTCCTCTCTATCCAACTCTGCCTCAAGCTCGCTTGCGCGCCGGTGGTTCCCGGTCCCTCTTTTGCTGTGTCGGCCCCCCTGCTCCCGTGGTACTGATTCGTCTCTCAACCGTGCACTGTGTTCGTTCATTCGTCCGAGTGCGCATCGCTTCTAGACCCCATGCTGTCTCTTCCTCCCTGCAGTACGACATCTCGGTTTCCTCGCTCGCTCCTAGCCCCTTCTGCTCTCTCCTCGGCTGGTCCCTTCTCTGCTTGTATTTTCTGCGAAATGTGCCTGGGGTGGGACTGTGCCTAAGCCTCGGACGTCCTCGGTAGCCGTGTATTACACACTTTCTCTTTGTAAATACAATTCAGCTTCACCTTCGACTCGCACCGCAACGATTAAAGTACAGGCGAACAGGAGATGATTGTCAAGTTTCATGTATCCGGCGGCGCGGCTACATTCCACCCACGTCTTCGTTGCGCGCGGCACGCTCGCGCTCGCGTTCGACGTGTTGATTGATTATAGGAGAAATGGCAGATTGACCCCGTTTTACCAGACGCCCTGCACCTGTCCACCGCCGCGCGCCGCGCCGCACCGCAGCTGTACATGCATTGGCAAGTGTCAAAACATCTATATCTTAGCAAGCGCCACGGTAAACTGGAACTGGAACAGGCAATTGTCATTATCATGACATCGTCCTTCGCGTGCTCGGTGGACCTATGAAAATTGAGGGAAGCGCGCACGCACATATCCGGGGACGCACGGAAGCGTAAAATGCCAGTAACACGCGATTTGCAACCCACGACATCAGGGGCACGCGGGACTCCGGGGACGGTGGTGCGAACGAATCCGCCCTGCGACATCGACAACGCTTTTCTTTTCGTTTTCGGCCTACGGGACTGTCAGAGCCAAGCCATGCATATCCATCAGGGCGTTGAGGCGTTTGTAAGTCCTCCTGGAGTATCGCTCCCACACGATGAAACCGGCTCCGCGCGGTCTACGGGAGTGAGGGTGGTTCGATTCCAGCCGAGGACGTGCTCTTTATAGATTCAATTTCTTTTTTTCTTCGAGCCGCAGAGAGTGTTG